AGTGGGTTGAGTTTACCAATCTATCATTAAGAACTTCTTTGTTAGAAGAAACTTTGCAGAAACAAAAGGAGAACATTTCTTAAATTTATGTATATAGTTACTGATGTATCTAGAACTGCTCAGTGCTATAAACGACCTAACTTAAAAGCCTGACAATTGTCATCCATCTCACATCTATTTCACTTGACAGAGACTGACATATAACAGTGACCTATGTTAGAAACCACTGTTTAAGTCGTCCAAACCTGGGGAGAATCATGCCTTAGGAAGTCAGCAACAGAGACAGTAATTTGATTTAGAATACTCTTGCTTGAGAAACTCTAAAATCATCCACGGAATCTGGAAATTCTGACTGTTATAATGCTTACAGACTAAAAAATCATCCATGGATCCCATGAAATGTACTCATTTCTTGGCTTAAATACTCATTTTGCTCCCTCTGTCCTCCCTTTAAAAAAATGAAGAATGTCTGCAATGCAATACTACAGAATCACTTGTTGAAAGCGAGGCTAAATAGTTTCGTTACCCAAGGAAGCCTGAGAAAGATGGTGAATTTAGAAGCTGCTCATTGGCTTTGCCCCTCCCCAGTGACATCCCAGGCAATAACCCACATCACACGCTGCATATTGTTTGGCAAAATAAACCTCACTTTATGCTGAACACTTCCCATTCTCCATGACTAGAGCTTTAGGCCAGACATCATCATAAATACATGCTACAAGTGTCTTACACACACACACATGTGCACACATGCTTTTTAGGAGCATTACCACCAGTTCCTTGTTTCAAATACAATCCCAACAACAGAAAAGAAATCTGACAAATTTTCAGGGCAATCACATAGCATTTAACATTCACAGTGTGTAAAAAGTTGTTTTTTCTCCCTTTCTTAAATAGTGCTAATGAACATGTGACTATGTCAAACCTGCCCAGCATCAGTACTTCTCACTTCACCTCTTGCACTAAGGTGACATGACCTGGTCATGCTGTTACTGGCATTGCAAACCTCTCTAGTGATGTCTTCTATATCTGTGTTGGGGTACATAAGTAGTAAAATCAATACAGATTTTATGGGAAAATTATTACATAAACATTAATACATTCAAGAAATTTGTACAAATTTTTATGAATGGGCATCTTTTAACCTTATAGATGCAGCTGCCATTTGAAACAATTTTAGAGCAGAAGGCTTATCAGTCTCATAGCTGAGCTCACACAGATATCACAACAGCTTTATGCATGAGTAATATCATATGTTACATCAAGAAATTGTCTTACGGACATTTTACAGGCACCTTGATTTTTGGTTTTGGTTTTTATGTTGGGTTGCTTTTTTTTTTCCCAGTGCAAGAGATCTAGACAGTTTATATTTGATAGGCTGTTCATAAATCATACCCTACTGCTGTTTGCAGGTTAGAACTTCTTCCCACACAGATTTCATTTTATCATCAGACTGTTTAATTCTGCGCTTATAAAAATGTCATCCTAGTCATAAGGGAAGAATTAGACAGCACTGTCTTAAGGTTTTCTGCACATACCATGACAAGATGCAGATACTGTGATACTAATTTGCCAGTAGAGTATATCAACTGCAGGATCAGACCATATACACATGCTGTTACTGAGCTGTGTCTTGCTGTTTTCAAAAGTGCGGTGAAATCATGAAGTAATATAAATTAGTAATACATTAACTACATTACAGTATTCTCACTGTTGCCTCTTGATATCATAGACTGGAATACATTAACACACTGATAATATCCTAAGAGTACATTAAAAATTATTTCTGAGCAAAAGCAGTGCCAGTCTCTATATTATCTCCCAAAATAACATTCTGACAGTGTGGAAGAAGTTATCAGGAGATTCTAACCCTTCTGCATGCTGTAGATTCCACAGTCTTTCTAAAAGACAGCCAATTTCCCCTTAGGACACACTTATAATCAAGTTTTGTGAGAACATATTACAGATTTTTCCAGATATTTTATCCAACATGTTGAATGATATATGAAAAATATCTCTATATGGAGTCAGGTGAAGATAACTTAATCACATATAATATTGGAATACTCACATATGTTATTGTATTTTAATTGGTACAGTAATTTGTAAGTGAAATAGTTTAAAATTTTATCACTTGTGTAGTTTATGGCATTATTGCTGATGTATAAAATATTCTGTTCTATGTGGATGATAAAAAATGTATATTTAAAATGTATACAGAGTACTAACCAATGAGCTAAACAGATGGGAGTTGTGTTTTAACTTCACTGGAAAGTACTGAAATAAAGTAACTAACAGCATTTGTGTAAATGAAAATAAATCTCATGAAAATCCGAATGGATTTTCCTTTGTTGGACAGAAGTTTGTGCTTGCCTTACAGCTATATATTATAGCCAGTGGCTGTATTTTGCTGACATGGCCTGTCAATAGCTACGTCTCAGCTGTTAAAAAACAGTAAGTTAAATGTATAAACTCAACACTGTGCAGGGGGTTCTGCACAGATTCCAGTTTACAGAAGTGAAAAAAAAAAAAAGAAAAGAAAAAAAATTCATGAATCTCAGGAGTCCAAGAAATACAATTCTCCCAAAAGTATTTCTGTCAAAAAAACCTAAACAAATTAAAGTGGAACTTAATCACAGTACTGATCCCTCACATAAGCCCTGCAACCTGACAGAAGCAGACACCCATGTCTGCTTGCATCCATGGAGCTTTTGTGGGACCACATTTGTCTTTAAACACTCAGTTATGCAGATCAGACTGCAAGCTGAAGGCTTGAATCTATTTCATCATTTGAAAGGCAGCTATCATTAGAATGCCAGGCAGAGGCACACAAAGTACTTATTTTAAATAAAACCTATGTATTTCTCTGTTAGATCCATTTAAGAGTCTTCAAAGCAAAAAATATTTCCGTTGGTGTTTACTTTTCAGTCCTTGTCCCATTCACTTAATATACAAAACATTGTTAAGTTTGGACAAGAAAGCTAGATGCTTCAGTCTCATGTTTAGGGTAACAGCAGTATCTTTATTTATCACAGACATTATCCCAATGTTACTATTTCTTATTTAAGTTCAGTTACTTCACACAGAAAAATGTATTTTATATTAGAGCCAAAATTAAATCAAACTTAATCCCAAATTATGCTAAACCACTTAAAGTGGTTTTGATAGATTAAGGCCCACTCCATCAAGCTGCTCTGTACAGACAGGTCTCCATTTGTAAGAGCCCACACAGTCCTCAGCAGAGGAAGACTCTACAAATATCCCAGGCACAAAAAAAAACCTGTGGTGCAAAGAACTTACCCAGAAGTGAGTTAAACTCTTTAAGATGTACCATCACCAGAATTCACTAGAGTAATATATTCTCAGCATTGTCATAGCTCAATTCTAACACTACTGGTACACAGAAATTCTCAGCTGGAAGTAGGAACTTCCAGCCTTGATGGTTTTACACCACCAACTGTCTCCAGAATCCAGAACACACACATATGCTCCAACGGAACTTTAAATCCTCATACAAATAAACTTGTACACAATGAACTGAGAGGGAAAACCATATTTTGAGAAGCTACATAATAATATTCCCCAAGCATGCATTCCTTCAGGTGAACAATTTAGCCTGAAATATAACTTTTCACATTCTGAATAATTTTTCTTCCATTTTTTTTAATCATTGTGGTTCTTCAAATAGCTACCTACTTACTTACTTAATAGTTTGATTTCATAATCCATTATATTGGGCATCTTCCATAAACAGAGTATGTTTGCAACAGAGTAGACACGAAACACATATGGACAAGAAGGACAGTAACAAGAGCACAGATTACATACACATCTGTTCTCTCAGGTCTCAGCCTCAGGAGCAAAGACAGAAAAAGTACACGCGCACACAACAGCCTAAATGCAAGAGGTCAACCTCATCTCTTTTAGCTTTCTTCAGCTGTATGAGCTCACTAACTACCTGTATATTTGGGGAAGAGCTGCATGCAGACATCCAGAAACAACTACAAAGCAGACACTTTTGGAAACCAAACACACACACACATTCAGCTGCGTGTTCACCACGAAAGACCATGACAAACAGTTTTCAGGCAACTGCGCAACTGAAAACTTAGTTTTGTTTTCCTAAACAACCTCAAGAAGAGCAGGGTTTGCCCGCCTCTCCTATGAATGCGTGTGTACCCTGCACCAGGAGCCTGCAGATCCCACGGGATCCACAGGAAGGCTGAGGCCTCATGAGCTCTGGAGCTTCCGGCACAGCCAACACTCCTGCAGATGACAGCTGTCACTGGACACAGGCACAGATCCCAGACACTGGAAGTGGGACGCTGTAAAACTAACATTGCCAGAAGGTATGCAAACTTCTCAAGTCTAGGTCGGACCACGGGTTTATCTATACTGCTTCTGAGCATAAGAACACTTGCAAGAATTGATACAGGGTAGCACTAATTTTTTACCTCCTCCCTTCACCGGGCATATTCACCAAACACACGGGGAACGTCTACAAAATTTCTACCACTTGCAACAATGAAATCTGACATGGGCATTCCAAAATGTCGAAGCATGAGAAGCCCGGGCACATATTCCCAGCAAACCTGTAAAAGTACTACTGAAATTTGTGAGCAAGTGCAGCAAATAAACAAAGCAACTGAGTTCCTATTCAAAAGAAAAACCACAGTCCTCTGTCATTCGTCCTGTACCAATGGCAAAGATGCTGTTCATCAGGAGTAGGACATCTCTCCCATCTAACACTTCTTGGACCAGAACATCACGTGTATGCAGAGAGGTAGGTCATGCTCCAAGTAGACCTTTAAAGCAAGACTAAAGTTGTGATTACTGGATTCCACATATATCTACCTTTTTTTTTTTTACTGTTGTGCAAAATCCCTCACAGCTGCTGCTCCAAACAGTTCACAAAGTGATCAGAGAGACGAGTTATGTTGGCAACATAAATGTCTTTCCTTTTCATGAACCAGCTTAATGCAGATGTTACTGCAACTCACCCCAGCTGAGGTTTGGCAGGAATCGGGGGAGGAAAGACGATGAAGAGTGAAAGTGTTTGAAGCCCAACTAATTTCTCCTCAACTCCTACTGGTCCCCCCTGCTCTGCCAAGCCACTTCCAGACTGGCACTTGTTAGCAGCTCCCGACGCTGGGGAGAAGAGGGTGCCTTGCAAAAGCTTCCTCCGAGCAGCCGGGAGGAGACTCAAAGAAGGTTATTCAGAAATAAAATCGAACGGAGTGCCTGCTCGCAGGTCGGCACGCTTCAGCTATCTTACACCGGGAACAATGGGGAGGCGGGCAGCCGGAGGATACGGCCCGGGAGCACGGGGCCCGGGGGGGACGCGCTGCCGGCCCGTCCGTCCGTCTGCTCTTTGTCCGTCTGTCCGTCCGTCCGTCCGTCTGTCAGGCGGCCCCGGCAGCCCCATCCCCGCCGCCCCGGCGCGGCCTGCGCGGCCCCGCGGCCCCCGGCCGGGAGAGCTGGCGGAGCAGGAGCGATAGGAGCGGCGGGAGCAGCGGGCGGAGGGCGCCCGTCGCCTCCTCATCCCCCGCTCCGCGCCGGCCTCCCCGCGCCGGGGCCAAACGCGGCCCATGCGGGACGCGCCGCGCCGCGGCCCCCCCTTCCTTCCCTTCCCTCTCCTCCTCCTCGCTCCCTCCCTCCCTCCGCGCACCGAGCGGCCCCGGCTGGCCCCCGCCGGCACTTACCAGCCGCAAAGCTGCGAGGAGAAGGCGGCCGGGCCGGGCCGGGCCGGGGCGCGGCGGCGGCGGCGGCTCAGAGCTGCCGTGCCGCGGCCCCGGGCATGGCGGGGGTGGCGGGCCGCGGGCGGGGGGGGCCGGCTGGGCGGCAGCGGCGGGGGGAGGCCGGGGGAGGCGGCGGCGGCGGCGGCTCCCTCTTCTTCTTCTTCTTCTCCTTCTTCTTCTTCTTCTTCTTCTTCTTCCTGCTGCTCCGCGGAGCGTCCGCGGGCGGTGACAGCGACACCCGGCCAGAGCGCCGCGCGCGCGCTGCACCACGGGAAACGCGCCCGGAGGACCGGCGGGACGGCAGCAGGAGGAGGAGGAAGAGGAGGAGGAGGAGGATGGGGAGAACGGGGAGCGGGGACGGGAGCGGGATCCCCGCCGGGGCTGCGGCCGCTGGCGGGGCGGGCGGTGCCGGGTTACGCGCGGGTCAGGAGGCCGGCGCGGCCGTGGGAGCGCTGCCCGCGCCGGCCCCGGGCGGAGGCGGGGCGGGGGAGCCCCTTCGGCCTCGGGCCGGGGCTGCCCCCGCTCCCTGCGGGGTCGTCCCAGCACCTTCACGTCCAGCGGGGGCTCCCGGGGCTGAGGGGGCCGGAGCGGCCGCGGTCGGTGCCAGGGAGGAGGCTGAAGTGTCACAGGTTGGAAGGGACCTCTAGAGATCACCCAGCTCAACCCCCCCTGCCAAGGCAGGGTCACCTGGAGCAGGTGACACGGGAACGCTTCCAGGTGGGTTTGGGATGTCTTCAGGGGAAGACTCCGGGCCCTCCCTGGGCAGCCTGTTCAGGGCTCTGCCACCCTCAACGTGAAGAAGTACAGCCCGATCCGGTTCCCCACTGCCGGCACATCCCATATCCCTCCCGCGGGAGGAGGCCCCAGACCACCGGTGCCCTTATGGGGGTCCGTCGGGCTCCCAGAGCCTCCAAGTCCATCAGAAAGCCCCGAGATGAGTTTTCTGCACTGCAACCTCCTTGATTGTGATGTCCTCCATGATCCCACACCGAAAACTTTCTGGAAAATTGCTGGAGGCCAAATCTTCCTAAAGACCCTGTGTTCCTTGGAGCAGCTCTCCACCCAAACTGGCTGCACATCTGCAGCCTGGGCTGTGCCATGGTATCACTTGCACCTCTCAACTCAAAAGTTGAGGTTACCAACTTTTCCGCGTTTCTCTAAACAAAGCCTTTCGCCAGCCACGCACTTAAACACGTGCGTAACTCAATTGCTCCGTGTCACTTGCGTATAATTAAGCATGTGCTTAAGTGCTCTGCTGGATTGAAGCCAAAATCTGCATAAGCTCTGCTGGGTAAAATTTACCAGCTTCGCTGGGCTTAGCTCTGTGAGTCATTCAATCAGCAGCGGCCCAAAGCTTTTTGCTACGAGCTTAGTTATTCCCAGGTTGTCCTACAGGATCACCCTGTCCCCGTGACAAGGCTTCTGCCCTTCGCTCAGGTCCTGTTAGAAGTGAGACGCATCTGTCTGGTGACTCAGCTTTACCAAGGGTTTCAAGTTCCTTCAGCAGGAGGCATTAATAAGGTTCTGGATCCTCACGCAGGTCAGAGGTTGTGCCATCCAGTTACAGTGTAATAAATTGCATTAACAAGAGAGCATTAATGACACCAGGACTTAGTGTGAAGGTCTGCCCTGACTTTATGCAATATTTATTTCAAAATAATTGCATCGAGAGGAAAGAGTTAATAAAATGTGTCCACATTTCATGCAGCCCTCTACAATTTCACACAAATACAAGAAGTGTGATTAACCTGCTTTTTGAATAAAATGGGGAACTTTTTTATTTCCAAACCCTGAGTTTTAGAAACTGAGGGAAGATGTACGTTTATGCAGCTTTGATTTTTTTTTTTCCTTCAAAGACAATTAATTGGGTGACTCTACTCATTTTTACCTGTCAAAAAAATCTTTTGAATTGCATTAAGTCTGAGTTGGGAAGCTCAGCACTAAATCCTTATATTAAAATACACTGAGGAATTAAAGCTTTCTGCAGGGTGAGCACAAGTCTTTCTCCAAGGACACATCAATTGGAACCTGCTTTTCAAAAAAATTTGTTTGGCAATTAACAGCATAATATGAAGAAGAAAGGCTGTCTTGTATTTAATGCTAAAAAGCAAGACTCAGCATATTTGACTGCTGTTCATTACTCTCTTACCATTCTTCTGTGCCCTTAATCAAGACATGCTCCAATTTTCACATGTCAGATTGGGTTATGGTGCAGTTTTTTGTGATGTTTTAAGAGGAATGGAGCACCTATAAGGTATCAAATTCAGTGAGAATCTTACAGTGCTTTGTTCATCTGGAAGTCCCCCCCACCATGGTAGAGTTGGCGAAGGGACATGTCAAACCTTGGATTTTGCCTCACATATTTCCTAATTATGATAGTTTCTCACCAAGTCACACAGCTGTGGCACTGATGTCCATATTAGTTTTGACAGTCATTTAATACTGCGGTATTTATTTATTAATATCAGTGCTTTGACATAATGAAATAGAAAAGAAATATAAAAACTCAGTAGCTTGAGAAGCTTAAAGAAGCACTTGCATTTTGACCTATATTTTTTTCAACACTCTGCTCTGTAAATGTCAGACAAACTCTGCTTGTCCCTAGTGAAAAAATTAATAGTTTTTAACATAGTCTTCCTTCTCCCTTCTGAATTTCAAAAATTGCCCACCCATGAGAAACCCTCTAAAAGGCAACGTGTGTGCACATGGAGCACAGCACGTTTCCATTTCCTTTTCTTAAGAGGGCTTAAATAATGGAAATTAAAAGGCATTTCCCCCCTCCTTCTTTTTCTTCTCTTTTCTGTATTAATCTAGAAGCAAGAAAATGTATGGCTATGTATTAAAGAGAGTGGCTTTGGGGAATCACTGGGCAATATGTGTACATTTTAAAAGGTCTTTAACAGGAAGTGGCTTCAGAAGTAACTGTGCAGATCAAGCAGAACCATCAGGTTTGACCACCTGCATGACAAACTGAAGGATTTAATTCAGAAATTTATGCTTCAAGACAGTTAACTTCAATTGAAGCGGCAGCTGATCTGGAAAGATCCTGTTTGGAAATCTGAGAGAGAAGTCCACCAGTTAGATATGTTTTTTAGATGGCCTCTTAGCCTAACTCTCAAATTTATGCCTTCATACTTGTCTAAATTCATCAAGCTTGAGCTTCTAGTCATTAGTTTTAGCTATCAGATTTAAGGACTGCATTTAAAGATTTTTAACTCTGTTTTCTAGGTCGTGGTTTATCCTTGCAACTCTTTATAAATCCTCTTCCAGTTTTTCAAAAATTATTTCTGTTTGTGTGAAAATACTGTTAGCCTGGGCCTACTGCTCAATCATTTAGCCTGCAGACAGGTAAATCAACAAATGTGCAGCTTTTTTCACCACCCCTCCATATCCACCTAAACTTTTATCTGTGCATTTGGAGTGATGTACAAAGTCTAGTGATGTGACCTGTCCTACTGACTCTGCCTAGGGTGAAGTTTCCTGCTGCTTCTCTGTCCTTCCTCATGTAAAGCAAGGATACAGCATGTCCGTCTTCTCCCCTTCCCCATGTGGATGTCACAACTCACAGTTAAGTCTCATTCCTTCCAACACATACAATTGGCTTTTCTTGAGTTAAAAAAAAATAAAAAAAAATAAAAAGCTGTTGGACTATTTACGTCTGTCTGTGGTTACATGATCAGGCCAAAGGAAGTGTGAAAAACAATCTGCACTTCAACAATCAATATTTTTACTGAGTATTTTATAACCAAGCTAAGTCTTAGAAAAACAGACTGAAGATGATCAGTGAAGAGTTCATGTCAGTAGTTTATATATGGAGAACACTGCTTGAAAAAAATATTTATGTTTTTAAAAAAGGGTATTTGCAAACAGAATGTTCAAAGCCATAGTAAATCCAGTAGGTGTTAGGGTGTGGAAAGACACAGTTCATCTTCCCAAACAATTGCTAAACCTGCCTTTTCTGCACTTGTGGAATCATCAAACAACTGAAGTTAAAACTGGTGGTGGATGAGAATAAGTTGACTTTTAGAGATTGCAGATGTGTTCTCCCCACCACACTTGCGTTATTTTTTAATGCAAAAGTTAGTTTTAGCTTTAGTGTCTGTGTGCCTTACTGCTCTCTACATGCTGTGCATGACCTGCAATTTTGCCTGGAAACCCTTTGACAAAAATGAGTACCAAATCATAACTGCATAAAGGAACAGTAATCATCATTAGGACTAAACCCTGGATGGAGTGCAAGAAGCAAATATAAACCGGTTTATTGTAATTGACTTGTTACCACAGAAGTGGAGATAAACACTACCTGGTCCTCATCACAGATTTATGTCTCATTCCCTGTTCAACAGCAGAGCCAAGCACGTCTAACTTCAAAAATGCAAATATCCCATTGAATTAGTGGAACTATCAGATACTGAATCAGAGAGAAAATGAAATGCTTTCTTCGATTTCTCTCTTCCTCTCCCCTCCTTCCTTGGGTCACTAAGGTCACTGTAGCCCTGGTTAGTACTAGTATGTGCCAGTGATCCAATGCATGGTGCTTCAGAAATGCCTAGATGAATGCCTGACATTTCAACAGTGGATGCAGTCAGGGAACAATTGCTATTAGAAGCTAGAAAATCACCTTCCATCC